TTCCCTGTGTACTTCATATAGCAAAAATATGATCCATTTCAGACCTCACATCGTATAATATTCAATGTTTTATCGAAACAAATTTTCATATTTTTCTTCAATTTTTATAATTTTTGTTTATTGGTTTTTTTATGTTTTCTGTGATTTCATTTTTATCAATGAAACTTAAATATTCATGTGTGTGAATGTGTTTTTTCTTCTTGTTAACCATCAAAAGCCATTTTTAAAACGGAAATAATTCATCATCGTTATTATCAAAATGATGATAATTTATTTAAATCTCAACGTCTACCGCATAAGTAAATGCTGTAAATATTTCGTCTGATTTATCAGGTATTTTTGTCTAGCTTGTTGATATTGAAAAAATACCGGAGAGAAAAAACAAATAAGTTCTTTAATGATTGTCTGAACGTTCGTGACATTATGCAATTCATAAAAAGAATTATTTATTACAATTTGAAAAAAAAACTTTTCACTTCAATTCTTCTTGTAGTAAATTGAATCTGAAAATAAACTACAACCATCTTACCAGATTCAGATACTTTTAATCAGAAAAAAAATTCAAATCATGATTAATGTGTTTGAAAAAAATTCAAATTTAATGAAATAAATTTCTAATTTATCATTATGCTTGCTTGCCGTGATGATTGAAAACAAACAGATCGATCGAAATAATCAAAATATTTTTTTAAAATGTGATCGATTACGCAAAATAATAGAAAATGTTTGCAACCTTTTTGTTAACACTTGTTCATTATTGAATTTTATTCATAATATTATTAATAATACAAAAGACAGATGAGAAATGATATGATTTTTTTTTCTTTATGAAATTCATTTTAAAATTTTCAGTCAGCTACTCATAAAGAATTGGATCATCCACCTACAGCCTGGAAGAAATTTCATGCTATACAGATAGGATAAAAAAGCTATAACGGATATTCGGAAGAGAAAAAAAAATATTCTGATGATGATAGATTATATCTATCACATATTATACAACATCCACACACAAACACACCAACTCACTTGAAAATGAACATTCCTACACAACTTTTTTCCAAAAAAAAACTATAATCTTCATTTATCGATAATTTATCCAATTTCAAATTCGTTGAATATATTTAAACAAGTTTGTACTTATTTTTTCTAAGCTAAACTTTTAGTGATGTATGTTTATTTGTTAGTGTTTGAATAAGATTAATGTCGGAAGATGACATCCGAGAATTTTTCTTTCACATTCTTTATTTCGCTGTTTTTTTGTTTGTTTGTTTGTTTGTTTTAAGCTAAATCTGTCACAGACACTACATTTGTCAAAAATATATACCTGTTATCGGGCGATATACATTCGCATATTTATTTCTTTATGCTCACACACATACATCCATTCATTCATTCATTCATTGTAATATAAAAATGTTTTAGGCTATAAACACTTCTTTTTTTTAATCTTCAAAGTTCATTGTACGTTGTTCAATGTTATATGAATGAATATAGTTTTTTTTTCTTCATTGATAAATTTTTAAAATTATTTAATCATATTAAATCATTAATAATTATCACCATTCATTAATTTGATAATAATAATGATGATGATGATGATGAGATATAAAAATAAACAAATAAGTATTCATCGATGACAAAGTAATTACAATAACAACGAAAAAATTAATGAATAAAAATGATAATGAGTTATATAATATAAATTTGTCAAATGATTAGTTCCAACATAAAAAAGAAGGAAAATTTTTGTCATTTTTTTTCTCTATCCCTCTCTCTCTCTTTCTCTCTTCAATCAAATATGGTCATGGTCAATTGAATTTGAATGGCCATTGAATGATTTATGAAAAAAACAAAACACAAAGTCTAGTCATTTAATTGAATACATTATTAATATTATTGTGGAAATTACAATGAATCTAATCTAATAACATTTCACTTGCCTATCCTACTAATCACATTTATAAAAAAAATTATTATTATTATGAGCATTAATTATTAGTTTCATCAAGTTTCATTTCAGTAATGAAAATGAAAAAAAAATAAATCTTTTCATCATCATCATCAATGTCATCTAAAACACATTGCGGCAGAAAAAATAGTTATGATTTTTTTTCTTAGCTTGTTTTTATGATCATAATCAATGATGTAGCTAAATTATTTTGATAAAATATAAAGAAAATGAAACTTAATAAAATATATCATCATCAACCTGTGTTTTAATATAATTAATAATTAATTTTCTCATTCTATTTTTTTTTTACTGGACAATAATGTTACTTACACATGCACATATACATCTTTTATCAATCAATTTCAATGTGTATTTCGAATTAATGAATGAGATGGATAGTTCGAAACCCATAAATTCATCGAATTGGTTTTAGAATTTTCAAGCGAAAATAAAAAGCTGATTCAAGGATGAATGTCATGGGAATCGATGGAAAATGAATGAATGAATGATTTAATGAAATAGAATTTCAAGAACAATGGCTTGAGCATATAATTCTGGTTCGATAAAATAAAAAAATACACCAACATATAAATACACATGGATTCCATATAGCTATAGCCAACGTATAAAAGTGGAAGGTAGAAAAAATCTAATATTTTATTTGCTATTATCATTACAAATTACATTCGGGAATTTGACTTGCAAGTGACAGTAAAAGAAAATGAAAAAAGGTTTTTTTTGTCCAAAACCGGGATTTTGACTTTTGCTTTTGTTTTTTATTTTTCATGACTTATGTATGTTTTTGTCACAATTTAGAAAAGGAATTTGTTTTGTTTTTTCTTACATTTTGTTGTTTGTTTTTTATCTTCAAAGTATTGGAATTCGTTTTTGTTTATTGTGTGTGTGTTTGTCAACGAATTTGAAACAACATTTTTTTCGACCCTTTTTTCTGTATGACAAAATCAAATTGAATTCAATTTATGCTATGTTTGATTATTCTATTTTATGGTTCCATCCGATTTAATGAAAATCTTTCTAGCGAAAAAATTACCGGATCTCTGTTTTTAGAAATGTCAAAAATGTTTAGCATTTTTATGATAAAATATTTGTTTCGAATAAAAAAAACATTCCACAGAATTCTATGATAATAATTTTTTTTTCTCATTCAATTCGTGATTCAAAAAGTTTCCACTTTTCCACAATTAAAGTGAAACTTTTCAATTACAATATTCCAAGTAAAATTTTTAATCAATTCATTATCGTACTATGCGTTTCAAATGAAAAGTTTTTTTCCGTTCCATTCAATTCATTCATGAGATTATCATTTTGATTGACATCATAAATGACAAATAAAATTTGAAATTCCAATATATTTGGCTAATTATTTTGTTTCTATATTTAAAAAAATCCCGTATATTATTCTTTTGCTATTTTGGTGATGAATTTTTGGATTTTTAATCAGTAAAATACAAAAACAGAACAAAAAAAAAATATGAACATTACTTTTGTTAATGATGATTTTTTTTACTTCTATCATTATGCTACTTATATTGCTTGTTATTATCATCATAATTTTTTTGATTTGTTTTATGTTTGAAAAATAAATAATCCGCAAAGAATTCCAACGAATTGTATCTGGTTGTTGTCATTATACCATCGCTCATTCATTTATTTTTTTCTTTTACCATATGAAAACATTTGCATGAATATTTATATATTATATATGAAGAAAAATTATATGAAAAAATTATCTTCTTTGCAAATTGAAATTTTTTTTCTGGTTTTTTTTTATTATTCTTTATAGAACTCAATATGAATAGAGCCACTGCTGTTATGCACTTATTATTATAATTAATAATTTCAAATTTTGCTGCTGAACTTAATATAATAATCAACACAATCAACTATCAATACCAGTTGTGCAAATTTTTTTTAAAGATAACAATTTATGAATTTTATGAATAATTTATTTATTAAAAAAATAAAGTTGCTATACAGAAATTACAGTTTGACAGGAAAATTTAATAAATTTTAAACATACGCTTCAAAAAAAACTTTATTAATATTAATAATAATCAAATATTTTTGTTTTTTTTGGATTTGATTTTTCCAGAGAATATTTTTCTTCTCATCATCATCATAATCATCGTAATCATCTTCATCTTCTTCTTTTCAAATATTATTATTATAATGAAAGTGAAATTCACAACAATCAAGTCATTAAACAGTGAGCAGTGGTAATAATTTATTTGTTGTTTTGTTTGTTGATTGGTTTTCATCCATTCTGTATTCTTCTTTATGAACTTGGAAACTTCCAATAATTCTTTACAGTCTTTTATTTTAAAAAGTGTTTATTTTATGTTCTATAAGAATCGATCCATTTTCTTCGACACTGATTCACATTTTCATAGAATTTCTCTTCCATCTCTAAGATCTTGGAAACTTTTCCAAGTTTTTTTTAACCAACAACTTTTTTTATATAAGAAAAGAATCGAATTCGAACAAAAAAATAAATAAATTGTTCCTTTCATGGTCATAATAATCGTTGAATAGGTTTGAGAATAGGAAAATAAATTTTTTTTTTCATGACACTTTCTCTCTCTTTCTTGTTCCATCTGCAATTGGGTTTGGCTATTGACAAATAATAATAATAATAATAATAATAGCGAAACAATTTTGAATGGACCGAAAAAAAAGATCCGAAAAATCGATCCATTACCAATTTCTTTGTCCATTATATTATCGATGACAATAATTGTTGGCATATCTCGTTTTACAGAATTTTACGTTCAACAATAATATTTTGGATGACGAATATTAAAATCCATCATACAATAATAATAATAATAATAATAATGATTAAAAGAATAAATCGACAATTATTGCAATACAAAATATAAAAATGCCAGATATTCTTCTATATCTTTCTCTTGTTACCAAAAAAATGATCAAATATTATTGATTATAACTCAATGATTATTATAAGATTTTATTGATCGGGAATAATATTTATTCCATTTCTTTACTTTCATTTTTTCATCATAAAATTAAATATAAGTGGAAAATAAAACAACAACAAAAACGATGATGATGCAATCACATTCATCATCATCAACATCACAGACAAAACACAAACAACCATCCTCATCAAGATCTAATTTAATGTTAGTTGGACTAGATGAAGAATCAACATTGATTCATCAACAAGAATTACCATCACCATATAGATCACCACAGCCATCCATAACGACACCAACAATTGTAACACCGACGACAAGTACGGTTAGAAAATTTCCACAACTTAGTATTGATACGAGCCATGCTCAAAAATTGATTATAACCAGTACGCATAAACAATCATCATCACCACCAGAAAATAGCCATTATCATACACAAACCAATAATTTAAATAATAATCATCAAATTCTAAATGAAAGTGATACACCAGTTCCAACACCACCTCCACCTCCCAATAGTTTTAAACTGCCTCTTCATCATCATCATCAACATTATGAATATCCTGTGATTGTAGATGATGTCGATATTTCTGATCATGATTCTGTCCATTCTGTGCAAGGTTCATCAACTGCTGTCTTTTCCCATCCTCATCATCATCATCATCATCACGGATGTGCTATTCATTCTCAATCAATTAATACGTCCGGAAATCACCACCATCATCATCATCATCATAAAAAACGTCGTCATCGTGATTCTAAGCGACGAAGATTTCGATTTTCATTTCGAACAAAAAATTCTGTTGCTGTTTCATTGGAAACCATTCCAGCTCCTCCATTATCAACAACCACAACAAATCTACATCAGAATCATCATCATCTTCCGGAAAATCAATCAAGAGCTTACTCGATTTCATCATCAACATCAGATCCAACCAGTTGTAATTCAAATTTATTAGTCACACAACAGTCCCATTCACAACATCAACAATCGCATCAAAAAACCATTGATCTACATTCGAAAAAACCAAATGGTGGTTTAAAGTCTAAAAAGGTAGCATTTTAAATGTCATTTCTCAAATGAAATCATTGAAAATTTTTACTGAGCTAATTGAATTGTTTTTATTTCATTTCTGTTTATCGGGCTTGAATAGCTCAAAACTTTGGTACATCCATTGGATCGTTCAATAGTTGGCATATTTTTGTTGACAATTTTTTTTACCATTTTGGCATTGTTGACTGGTGCACCGACTGTGCTGTTTTTGATGATATTGTTGCCCATATTTATCTTTATAAAGAAAATTTTTCAATGTACTTTATTTGAAAAGATTAACAATCAGGAGCCAGTTTCATCAATTGATTCATTTTGGCTTCAAAAAGGACATATCACACATTGCCTCATGTATTTGGACAAAGGTCTGTCCGTTCAACAATTACGTGATGTTATTGCCACACGATTGCTGACAAAACCAGAGCTTGCCCGTTTTAAATCACGTCTTATTCATCGTGGATTATGCGGTTCACCTTATTGGAAATATGAGCCAGAATTGAATAATTTTGATGACCATGTTATCGAAGATGAACCTATTGATTGTAAACGATCATTGCACAAGAGATTGATGACCTTTATGGGCCAATCATTACCAATGGACAAGCCTTTATGGCAAATCCGTTATTCACTCGCTTCGTATTGCGATCAAGTTATTCTCATCGTTCGTGTTCATCAAACCCTTTCACAATCAGGATTAGTATCAATTTTAACTCATTATCTTTGCGATTCAGTACCCATGTGTTCGACCCAAAAGGCTCGTTTCGGTTCCGCTACTTTGTCCATCAATATTTTGCGTGCAATCATTGTAGGACCATTAACATTTTTTCTATGGATAATGTGGGCGTTCACTCGACGTCATCACAACTATTTAACCAAAGCTAAAGAAATCAAGTCAATACATTGGTCAGCGTTAGATTTACCAAAGATTTACAGAATCAAACAAGTTACCCGAAGGTAAGCAATGATCATAAAAATAATCATAATAATTAATTAATTTCTGTGATCGATAGCACTCTTAACGATGTTCTATTAGCCTGTATTGCCGGTTCTATTCGTTCATATCTAACCACCAAAACTAATATCATTAATCCTCCAGATTTAACGGTTTCAATTCCGGTCGATATAAAACCACAGACGCCCATTGAATCAAGCTTAACTGGTGTTAATTATGTTTTAAGTAATTTATACAATATAATTGAGCAATTCTTTTATTTAATGATATAATGTGATAATAATTTAGCTTCATCACCCATTCCCACGAATACGGAGGGTGCCATTCCTCGATTATGGGAAGTACGTCATCTTATGGAAGAGCTTAAAACTTCGGCTGATACAGCAGTAATGTATGGCTCCCATTATCTATTGAGTCGATTCCTGCCGCAGTGTCTATATCGTGTTCTGATGAATCTTGTCAATCGAAATTCTTCGGTGTACATGTCGAATATGACAGGTCCAGAAACCGCATTAAGTATTGGATCACATCGATTGAACAAAGTATTCTATTTTTTATCGCCGCCTTCATACTGTTCGCTAGTTTATAATATTTTCAGTTATGATCAAAAGCTTCACATATCTATTTCAACCAGTTCGAAATTAATTACCAACTCAAAGGAATTAATGCGTCATTTTCGTGGTCAAATTGATACGCTTCATGAGCTCTTATCAAAACGACGTGTTCCTGGCGAATCTAAACGCGCAAAAAGGCCAACGTTTCTTGGTGATCAATTGGCTGCTCAACAACAACAATTATACGGTAATCAACCAGCTACTTCACTTATTGAAGTTTCATCAGCAGGTGGATCTGTCGATCTTTCCGACAAACTTCATGAGATTCAAGATGAGCTTAATCAATTATCCGGAGCTTATGAAATGGGTGATCCTGCTGTTGTCCAACGTTATGAAGAATTGAAAGAAGAATTCACGACTATATTGTATGAAATGCGTCGGCGTAAATCTTTGGCTGATTATGGCCATGCTAGCAACATCGTCATTAACATTGAGGTAAATGTATTCATAAAGACAATAGCCTTTTTTCATTATGAATTTATTCCTTTCACAGAATCAAGATGATGACGATAATGATGGAGAATTGAGAGCGATAGCATCTCGTAGATTTTCCGTGGTTAGTCTTGGTCGTCGTGCATCAATTGTTTCAAGTTTACCGACAACATCACGAGTAACACCACCAATATTATCAAGACGATCAATGGCTACCAGTCCAGAACCACCATCTAGTCCGGAAGTTGCTTTCAAAGTTGAAACAGAATGTTAAATTCATCAAAATTAATCAGATTCGAACCAATAACACCATATAAATGAAAACCTAGCTGTGATTTTCATGAAAGTTTTTTTTTTGCGAAAAATTTGACTAAATTTCATATTGTTATTGTTTAATCATCAATTTTTTGCTTTATTTTCAAATTCCATGAATGTCCATGAAATAAAAGAAAAACGAATACTCTTATTTGATTTACAATTGTTTGCCAATGCAGTCAATCAATTGCCATCAATCTATTAATCTTTATACTCAAGGAATTCAGAAAATTGATCGATAGTAGAGAAAAAAAATCTAACACTCATCGAGTGGTTTCCACGGACACATATGCAAACGATTGCATTGTAATAATCATAGGACGAAAAATCATCACAAACATTTGATTTATTTACGACTTTGATTAGTTGATAATTCGATCTACCCATTGTGTATACTTGAATAATAATATTGTTATATAGCGCACACGCACACACACACATCAATACAATCGATCGTAACTAATTAATCAATCTATGATTAGCTTAGCTGGACAATTTTATTGCACTTCTCAATTGCTAACACGTAAATGGTGATTAACATTGTAGTTGATAATGATATTTATAAAAGTTTTTATCTGGGCCATTTTTTCGCATTATTCTGCGTGTGAATTTATAGATTATTGCAATTGTAAAGCTAATCCATATGATTCAAATGTACCTGATGATCCTTATCAGCATATTGATTTCCGTAAGTATATTCAAGTATCTGTTTGTTGTCTGGTAATAATAGCAAAAAAATTCAGTTTGCTGTGATGGTCAACAAAAGGATGTTTTCAATCATCAAAACAATCAACAACATTTGGATCGATTGATTGAAAAAATTGATAATGAAAAAATATTTGTCGATCAATTCATTATAAAAAGTCTGAATCCTCGGTTGATATTCCAACTTGATTCATTGAAAATAAACTGGTTGGAAATTTCAAATATTGAAATATATTCATTTCAAGAGACATTTCAACATAAAAATTCGAATATCCATCAATTGATTTTATCAAATGTTAAAGTTTTTCAAGAGTTATTGTACTTTGTACAATCCTCATGGAATCATCTTGACATGATTCATTTGGATTCATATCAATTGATTGATCAATATCACTTACAACCATCCGATCATTTTTCTATATTCGATAAACCATTTGCAGAAAATTCTAAAATAAAAACTTTAAACATGATACGGTGCGATATTAAATCTTTGGCTGGTGTAGATTTATTGAAAAATGTGAAAACTCTTCGATCGCTTTCGTTGGCACATAATCATCTGACAAGCATCGATAATGTAAATTTTTTCCCAAGTGATTCCAAAGAATTTCATACACTTGATTTAAGTCATAATCAGCTGCGATTGTTACCAAATGATTGGAAACTGCCATCTTCTTTGATCCATCTTCATCTGGATAATAACAAAATAATCGTTCTTCCAGACAGTGTTTACCATTTGAATAATTTGCAAGAATTTTGGTTTCAAAGTAAGTAAAATTGTTGGAAAATATTAATATGAATACAACTAATCATGATTTAAAAAATTCTTGATTTCCATCATTACATTGTAATATAATCGATTGTATAAACGGTTTTTTTTATTTTGGTTTATTTCCATTATCCATCTACAGAAAATTGTCTAAGTTGTGAGGATGTTGAACTGAGATTCAAAGGAAAAATTCCAGCGATTTTTATCTGTTGGACAGAGAAAAATTTGACAACAAACAGGACAAATGACATTGTGGAATATATTGCAAGGTTTCATCGAAATTGACGTTTCATCATAAATTATGAATGGTTATTGTTTAAATTTTTTTAACTTAAATCATAAAATTAAGAATACAAATATTAATCACATTAAAATGAATGACAAATTCTTTTTTCATGAAAATTTTTTGTTGTTAAGTGTTGGCGCGTTATTTTTGAATTATATACGTCGTATTTGAACGGTCTTTTGTTTACATTTTTGGCCATCAATTTTTTGATTTCATAAATTTATTGTGTCTTGTTTTTATTTGAAAACTCCTACACAGAGAGAAATAATTTAGGCTTTTTTAACTTTTTTTGACTATTTTTGTGGAAATAGCTCGATCACATGACACAATTTTCAAAATTT